GAAACATACTTGATTGAACATTTTAGTACAATTAAACTATGATAGAATTTTTAGACAGCGTGAAGGACTCATGAGAGAATTTTTTGAGAACAATGCTATTGTTGAAGATTCTACTTTCATTCCAGACTCAACCTAATGACTTAAAGTTAAAATCTATAATGTTTGTTACAATGCAACTTTACACTAATCTGTTGATGCGGCCAAAACTAACGAGTGATTTCAAATGATTTTTTAGTTAATTTTTTAACATTATTTGACTTTTTATCTTTGAACTATGGATTGAGGCATTGGAAGTAAAATAAATATTTAGCTTAATGCTTTAATAACAACTGTCAGGATATTAATGTTATGAAAATGACCTTAATTGTCATTCTTTTTGTTATATATTACAAGAACAAATAATAGCAAGATAAATATACTAAAATTAATGCTTAGTCAACAACATATTTTTGCAACATAACACACAGTTCAATTATAAATTAATTGTATACTTAATTATAACAAAAATTGGGTCGAGCACAGCCGGTAACACACCCACGAGAATGACGTCAATAAAAGAAATAAGAATGAATTGTAACTATTAGATCTGATGATCTAATGACTAAAATAAAGTCAAAATTATACCTTAATTAAGGGTATTATAGTAATTTTTCATACCACACCTAAAGAGGTGGGCCCCCTTACACAATAATACACCTACCAACTAACACACTCACCCACCCCATTAATTCACGTCAGACCCAACCCCTTTTTTTCTCTTTCTCTCTCTCAAACACGCACACACACATGCAAAAACACACTCACGATGTTCCAGTTGTTCGTGAGTTCGTGGATGTGTTCCCGGATCAGCTACCAGGAGGACCACCCAGCAGGCAGGTGGAGTTCACCATCGATCTTGTTCCAGGAGCAGGACCGGTGTCTAAGGCACCATACCGTATGGCTCCGAAGGAGTTGCAGGAGCTGAAGACGCAGCCCAGCGTCTCACCTTGGGGAGCACCCGTCCTATTCGTCAAGAAGAAAGACGGATCCATGAGAATGTGCATCGATTATCGAGAAACGGTGCAGAATAAATATCCGCTCTCCAGGATAGACGACTTGTTTGACCAGTTGAGAGGAGCCCGCGTATTTTCCAAGATCAATTTACGCTCCGGCTATCATCAGCTGAATATTAAGGAGTCCGATGTAGCCAAGACTGCTTTCCGGACGAGATATGGACACTACGAGTTCGTGGTTATGCCGTTTGGTCTGAGTAATGCGCCGGCGGTGTTCATGGACTTGATGAATCGGGTGTTCCATCCGTACTTAGACCAATTTGTTATCGTCTTTATTGATGTCATTTTGGTCTACTCCAGGAGTTTGGAGGAGCATGAGCGGCATCTGAGGGTTGTTCTCGGGACCCTTAGGCGAGAAAAGTTGTACGCCAAGTTCTCCAAATGTGAATTTTGGCTGAAGCGAGTGGCATTTCTAGGCCACATCATCACCGAGAGAGGCATTGAGGTTGATCCGGCGAAGATTGCTGCAGTTCGGAACTGGTCAGCGCCCAGAAGTCCCACCGAGGTCCGCAGTTTTCTCGGTCTAGCAGGGTACTATCGCAGATTTATCGAGGGATTTTCTAAGATTGCCCTCCCCTTGTCCAAGTTGACGAGGAAATCTGTGAAGTTTGAGTGGACGAGTCGTTGTGAGGAGAGCTTCCAGGAGCTCAAGAAGAGGCTTACGACGGCTTCAGTGCTGACAATTCCGGATCCTACTCGAGGTTTCACCATCTATAGTGATGCCTCGAAGCAGGGTCTTGGGTGTGTGCTGATGCAAGATGGCCAAGTCGTTGCGTACGCTTCACGTTAGTTGAAGCCCCATGAGCATAATTACCCGACGCACGACCTAGAGTTGGCAGCGATTGTGCATGCACTCAAGATATGGCGCCATTATCTGTATGGTGGTCGGTGTGAGATCTTTACCGATCACAAAAGTTTGTAGTATATCTTCACACAGAAGGAGTTCAACATGCGCCAGAGGCGATGGTTGGAGCTTGTGAAAGATTATGACTGCACCATACAGTACCATCCGGGGAAGGCGAACGTGGTAGCAGACGCCCTAAGCCGTAAGGTGAGGGGTGAGTCAGTCTGCTCGATCACCGATCAGCGCCAGCTTATCCGAGAGTTTGCCCGGATGCAGATTGAGGTTGTCGATTCACTTCCTAAGGAGATTTCGGGGAGTGTTAGCTCGATGCGAGTTCAGCCCATGCTGAGAGACAGAATCCGGCGGGAGCAATCCTGCGATCAGTTCATTTAGCATTTCCGAGGACGGAAATATTTTTAAGGGAGATAGATTGTAATAGCCCAGTTCTGTATTAATAAAAATGATAGTTTTTAGTTCCCAGTTGAACTATTTCTTTTTATTAATACTGCTCGTCTTGAGTTCCGAGCCCAGTTATCAGTTATTCAATCCCAGTTATTAATTCTGGTCCATTTATTTTATCAATGGATTTTATTCAGTCGGAATTAATTATTTCAGTTGACGAATAATCGAAACCGAGTTTGTTTCGATAAATCGTCCAAGTTTAGCCGTGTCCGGAACCGAGTTGTTCGGTCGCGAGTATCGCGCCTAGTTCGCGCCTAGCCAATTCTCGAGCCCTAGTAGTCTCGAGTCTTGTTCGAGCCCTAGCCGTGCTCATAGCCTTACTTAGAATATTTTCTAAGTATGAGATCCTTTTTATCGAGCTTTCGATATCATTCCCTCGACCTAAGTAACCCGCACCGAGTTCGTGCACGGGTCCGAGTACTCGCGCCAAATTGTCTTGTGCCTCACCAAGCCGCGAGTGCCCAAGTCATTGTTAGTAGTGTAGGATATTTTTCTAAGTGTTTTGGTTTCATAGACGAGCCACGAGTTCATCTCTAGCCAAGGGTTATCCTCGACTAAACATTTTCCAAGCTCGGGCCATGAGTCGTGCCCTAGTGCCGCACCCTAGCCTCGCGCGAGTCAAGCATGGTGCCCAAGTCATGGCCAAACACTTATGGTATTTTTCTAAGTGTTGTGAGCCTCAATTCAGCCCATAAAATCAGCCCAAGGTCATTTTTCCCAAGCAGGCCAGTTTTCCCGCGCAGCCAGGCCGCACCCTCGCGCCAGGCCCAGTGCCGCGCCATGCCCAGCAGCCCGCGCCCAGGGCCAGCGCCCAGGCCCAGCGCTGGCAGCGCGACAGCCCAACTTCAAGAGGCCATTTCACATGTTTTTGGCCCAAATCTTTCAGGGACCAAAACCTCCGAATTTTATACACTTGACAAGGATCATTTTGAGCTAAAATGGCCCTAAGGAAGTTAAGCCCAATCCACTCTCAAGTGAGTCCAAACGTGAGACATGTGCATGGATTAAAATATTATCTAGTGTCATATGTTGTCCCCTCATGTGATCCACTTATCATTATTGTGGGAAAACCAAAGTCAAGGTCCATAGCCAAACCGTGCGCGTGTGTCCCCGGGGAAGAGAAGTGCTCGTGTCAAGCTCGTTCCAGCCTAGTTATCTCGAGGCTTATCATTATCCAAGCTTAATTTGGATTTTTCTAAGTCTCTTGAAGCTATCCTCCACAGCCATTCAAGCCCCAAAGCCGAGACTAAGTTCCTAATGCCGCGAGATCCCCGAGCAAAGTCCTTTGGCACCATTTCGACTTTTGAGCAAGGTTAGCTCGTGACAACCATTTTTCCTAACTTATTCATGATAAAATAAGATTTATCATGTACAAAAATGATGCCATGCACGAGAAGAATATGGAGATTTGGATTTTTGAAGATTTAAGCCCTAATTTCGTAAGTTATGGTACATGCATGATATGGCCGAGATTAGCATCTTAAAAATCCTCAAAAATCATGAGTATGACATGGTTAAACAGTTTTATGCTTTGAGTTTATTTGTTCGGTCAATTTGTTAAGTGAAATCGAGCCATTTTCACCCCCGAACCTAAGTATATGTGCATGCATGTATTGACCAATGTTCTAGCCTCATTAGCCATGATTTTTGATGTATATCATTCGGCCCTAGGTCAATTTTCATGTTGAGCATGTTCATTTTTGTGCCCTAGGGTGGCCTCGTGCCTAATCGGCCCTATAAGCCCATCCCCAAATCCAACCGAGGTCCCTCAGGGACTTTTGGCATTTGTGAGTATATTATGTCATATTATGTTGGTATGGTTCATTAGTCCCTAGAAAAGTTGAAGGAAGTTTGGAAAAGACCGGCTAGGGTCACTAGCCGCGCCAGTCGCGCGTGCTGTGCCCGTGCCGCGTCATAGGGGCCAGGCAGTGCCTCTGTCCGTGCCCGCGCCTAGTGCTCGCGATGCACCACAGCCCTAGTGCACGAGACAGCGCCCAGCAGTGCCTGTCCATGCCAACAAGCGAGGTCTCAGCGCCAGTCGCGCCAGAGCACCTCCGACAGCGCCCGGCAGCGTTGTCCCAGTGTCAGTGCACGCGTGACCTCGAGCCAGACGCTCGTGCCACGCATAGTCGACCCCGGGTCGTGCCAGCAGCGCACCCGAGTGTCCAGTGTCGTGCCTTAGTGACCCTGAGTAAGGTCCAGAGGCCTCGGGACGTGCCCAGCAGCACGCCCGAGCAGTCAGTTGGCCCGGGACGTGCCCAGCAGCACGCTCGCGTGCCCAGGGTTGCCCGGCAGCACCCTGACAGCCCTAGCCGCGCCCGAGCCGCGCGAGTAGTGTCTGGCCACGTCCGTTCTCGCGCCAGTCGCACTCGGGTCGTGCCAGCCGCACGCCCAGTGCCCAGTCAACCCGGGTACGCGCCAGTTCCCGCGTCCCTCGTGCTCGACCGTGCCCAGCAGCACGCCAGCACACCCAGTGACTCTCGGTCGTGCCCAGCCGCACCTAGTGGCACCAGTCGTGCCAGGGCCCGTGCCAGCCGCACAGCCCGCGCCCAGCAGCGCCTAGTACCGTGCCCGGTCGCACCCAGCTAGTGCCCAGCGCCGTGCCATGGCCCCAGCAG